GGATTTTAAAAAATATATATATATTTTATTGATTTTTTACAGAGAGGAAAGGAGAGGAATAGAGAGTTAGAAACATTGATGAGAGAGAATCATCCATCAGCTGCCTCTTGCACACCTCCTACTGGGGATGTGCCCGCAACCCAGGTACATGCCCTTGACTGGAATCGAATCTGGGACCTTTCAATCCGCAGGCCGATGCTCTATCCACTGAGCCAAACCAGTTTCGGCGAGGATTTAAAAAAAAAAAAAAAAAAAATATATATATATATATATATATATATATATATTTTAAGTTGAGGTTTAATTTACTCATTTTAAGCAGACAGCTTGATGACTTTTAATCTAAACATACAATTATGCAGCCATTACCACAATCCAGTTTTAGAACATCTCTTCCCCCCTGGGAAGTTCTCTCCCGTGTGTTTTCAGTCAATCCCTGCTCCCACCACCAGGCAGCCGCTGATCTGCTTTCTGTCTATACTTTTGAAATTTTATATGAATAGCCGAAACCGGTTTGGCTCAGTGGATAGAGTGTCGGCTTGGGGACTGAAAGGTCCCGGGTTCGATTCCGGTCAAGGGCATGTACCTTGGTTGCAGGCACATTCTCGGTAGGGGGTGTGCAAGAGGCAGCTGATCGATGACTCTCTCTCATCGATGTTTCTAACTCGCTATCTTTCTCCCTTCACTCTGTACAAAATCAATAAAATATATATATTTTTTAAATATATATATATATATATAAAAAGAAATTTTATATGAATAGAATCGTACAATATGTATTCTTTTCTCTCTGATGTCTTTCACTTAGTTTAATGTATGTAGAGGCTCACCCATATTTTTGTATGTGTATTTTCTTATTATTGAGTGCTGTACTATTGTACAGATATAGGACTGTTAGAATTTATATATACATACAGAGGCCAGTGCACAAAATTTGTGCATGGTGGGAGGCAGAGGAGGGATCCCTCAGCCTGGCCTACACCCTCTCCAATCTGGGACCCCTCAGGGAATGTCCAGCTGACTCTCGCAATCCAGGACCTCTGGCTCTTAACCGCTCACCTGCCTGCCTGATCACCCCTTTCTGCTCCCCTGCTGCCCTGATTGTTCCTAACCGAACCGCCTCTGTCTTGCCCTGCATCTAGGACCCATGATTCCATTCTTTGGCTGGTTGCAGGCACCTGGGACCCGGGAAGGACCTGGGCTTCCCTCCCTCTGGCCAGCTGCAGGCACCCGGGACCCGGGCCAGCTTCGCATGGGCCAGCCACAGCCGCTGGGGACCGTGGGCAGGCAGTTTTGCCTGGGCCGCAGCCCAGATGCCCGGGACCACAGGGCGGGCGGCTTGTCCCTCTCCCGGGCTGCAGGCACTGCTGCTGGCACTCAGACCACAGGGTGGGCAGCTTGTCCTCTCCTGGACTGCAGTGTGGCTGGCCCCCATTCCTCTCCCCAATGTTGAGTGTCTGAGCTAGTCAGGCATGAGGGTGTGATGACCATTTGCATATTAGCTCTTTATTATATAGGATATATATAATGATTTCAGAGAGGAAGTTAGAGGGAGAGAGAGCAAGAAACATCAACAATGAGAGAGGATCACTGATCGGCCACTTCCTGCATGCCCCACATTGGGTGGGGATCGAGCTTGCAACCTGGGCATATGCCCTGACCAGGAACCAAACCGAAACCTCTCAGGACCTCCCAGTTCACAGGTTGCTGCTCAACCACTGAGCCACGCCATGTTTGTGCATTCACCAGTGGATGGACCTTTGGGTTTTTACCACTCCTTGGTTATTACGAATAAAGTTGCTATGAGCATTTAAAAATAAATCTTTAGCCGAAACTGGTTTGACTGAGTGGATTGAGCATTGGCCTGTGGACTGAAAGGTCCCAGGTACAATTCCGGTCAAGGGCATGTATCTTAGTTTTGGGTGATCCCCAGTGGGGGATGTGCAAGAGGCAGCTGATCGATGTTTCTCTCTCATCAATATTTCTAGCTCTCTATCCCTCTCTTCCTCTCTGTAAAAACTTAATAAAATATATTTTTTAAAAAATCTTTGTATGGATATATGTCTTTAATTCTCTTGGGTGTTTGGGTAGTATGGAAGGTATGTATTCAACTTTTAAAAAAATATATATTTTATTGATGTTTTACAGAGAGCAAGGGAAAGGGACAGAGAGCTAGAAACATCCATGAGAGAGAAACATCGACCAGCTTCCTCCTGCACACCCCCCCACCGGGGATGTGCCCGCAGCCAATGTACATGCCCGTGACCGGAATCGAACCCGGGACCTTTCAGTACACAGGCCGACGCTCTGTCCACTGAGCCAATCCAGTTTCGGCTGTATTCAACTTTTTAAGAAACTGCCAAACTGTTTCCCAAAGTGGTTGTACCGTTTTTTCATTTCCACCAGCAATGAGTGTGTGCCAGTTTCTGTTCATCCCCACCGGCACTTGGTATTGTCCCTTTCCCTGCTGTTCAGCCTTTCTACTTGGTGTGAAGTGGTATCTCTCTGAGGTTTTGGTCCTTACTGCCTAGTGACTGATGATGTTGGTCATGTCTCCATGTGCTCATTGCTGTTTGCGTATCTTCCTTGGTTAGTGAATGACGTTCCGTTTTTTCATTTTTGATTAGGTTGTCATCTTATCAGCGAGTCGTAAGAGTTCTCCGTATGTTCTGAACACAAGTCTCTATTAGATGCATGATTTATAGTGTTTTTTCTCGGAGGGTCCTGGGCAGAGAAGGGGCCATGGGCATGGGGAGGGGTCCTTGCACCAGGCTTCAGTCCCAGCAGCACACTCTTCTCTGCCTCCGGCATGTGGGCTGCATCAGGTCAGAGGGTTCCCTGGCTAAGCCACAGGAACAGGAAGCTTGTGTGGCCACCCGCTTGCTGTCACCAGAGACCACCCTCACATGCCCTTGTTGGCTCAGCGTGTCCCTGTCAGGCTCGGGGGTGCCGACGCAGCCTAACCAGGTGCACAGAGACGTCACAAACTGGGGGGCAGTTCCCCAGTGAACGAGCTTCCTGGAGGGCCAGATTCCGGGGAGCTCTAGCCTGACCATGTGTCTCCAGGCCCCAGAATTCCCGGGGTGTCAGAGTCATGGGTCAGGGCACGGTGGTGTTGGGTTTGAAGGCTCCAGGGCAAATCAGGGTCAGCAAGAATGCCCCGTGCTCCTGTCAGGGCACGTAGGCGGCAGCACTGTGCACCATGGGGGAGCTCAGTTTCCTCTTTGTATGGCTGGCAGCCCCGTGTGAGGAGCCGGTCCTTCCCTTGGCCGATCGTCCCAGGACCGGGGAGTGGTGTTGCTGGCTCATCTTGGTGGCCCGAGAGCCGATCTGAGGACACTGTGAATTCCTGTCGTGAGCATTGTAGTTGGCTTCTGTATTAGTCGGGACCTCTGTGGTTGCAAGCAGTGGTGTCCCCAGATAGGTGTAGGCAAAAAGAGAAAACGATGCATATGTGTGTATGAGGATGTGTTGGCTGATGTAAGCAAGAGGCTCAAGGGACCGTCTTCAGGCTCAGCTGGATCCAGGCCCTCCACATCCAGCCACTCAGCTCTGCTTTCTCTGGGTTGGCTTCGTTCCTGGCAGCTCTCCCAGGTGGTAACTGGGATGGCCCTGCAGTTACTGGCGTCCATCCCACACCCTTAGGAAGAGGGGCGATGAGAGCACCTCTTCCTAAGGGTTCCAGCCAGAGTCCAGGCCCTGATGCTCCTCAGGTCACGTGACTTCCCCTCACCCCACCACGAAGGGCTCTGACCAGGTCTGCGTCCTGTCTACTCCAGGAGCGTGTGTGGGGGTCAGCCCACATAAGTCATGTGGATCCAGAGTGGAGAAAAGGGTTCTCTAAAAGGGATAATGTTCTGTGACCAAGTGGGGGATAGGAATACAGCTGGACAGGCACAGGGTTTGGTATTCCTGACTGTCAGAGTGGGGTGCCCAGAGGCTTTGATTTCTCCTTCTCAAGGTCCTGAGGGGGAAAGCTCTCATCAGAACCCTCCGTTCGTCCATGGTGCTCCGCCTTCCCTCTCCTCACTGGATGGTGTGCTCCGAGGCAGAGGCCCGCGGCTCCAGCAGGATGGGGCCGGGCCCATGGGGGGCCTCTGTAGATAGGGGTGCAGGAGACGGTGTGCACACGGGGCAGCAGGGGAGGAGGCCCCAGGACAGTCCTCTGTGCCTTGGAGACGGGAGCTTCCCTTCTCAAAGGTCCCCTTTGTCAAATGCTAGTGCCCCGTGCACCCGGGCAGCGTGTGCGCCACCCCCTTCCCGTTTCAGTCGTATAGGCAGGGAGCTGTCACAGTGCAGGGTAGGCATAGGGCACGTGAGCCCATCCTGGTGGGGGGTGAGGCCTCTGTGTGTCTGTCCCCGCACCGGTGGAGGGGGCAGGTGCGGGAGGGTGAGCCCGGGAGCCGAGGGAGGCCTGCGTGGCGAGGCAGAGCAGTCAGCTGGGTGATGCGATTAGATGCTTGTCAGCCCGCATCAGGAGGGGTGTGAGGTATTGGCTAGTTCTGGAGAGTCTGGGGGCTGCGGGCGGGGATCTCACTGGGTTGCCGTGCGTGTCAGGATCCACAGCAGCCTGTGCTCTGTGGTGAGACACACGCTCCGCCGTTGGGGGCCGTGCAGGCCCTCGGGGCCCTGGCCTGGGGTTTCTGGGGTTCGCACAGCATTGCTGTGGACCCGAAACCAGTTTGCTCCCGATTCTCGCCTCCTGGGCCCAGGAGGCGGGCAAAGAGAACGCGGACAACCGCTGAGTCCAGCAGGCCAGGTCACTTGTCCTGGCAACACCACTGCCACGCTGGGCCCACCTTTGCTGCCGCGGCCCCGGGCCTCGGTTTCCCGTGTGGAAGGAGAGGGGTGAGGGCGGTCTGTGCCTCACGGCGTCGGCGGTGTTGGAGGCCTGTGTGGCACTGTGATGTGATCCATCTTGTTCTCCACCCGCAGGTGCGTGACGATGGCGGGGAGAACGTGACCTGCGCGGCCCTGTCCCGCCGCCGAGTGGCAGCACCATGCAGAAGCCCAGCGGCCTGAAGCCCCCCGGCCGAGGGGGAAAGCACTCGAGCCCCATGGGCCGGACGTCCGCTGGGTCAGCCGCAGCCTCCGCCTCGGCGGCAGCCACCGGCTCCAAGGAAGGTGCGCAGGGCCCAGGGTAAGGGGCTGGGGGGGAGGGGGAGGGAGGGGCGTGGATCGCCCGGGGCGGGGGGGGGGAGCCGCTCTGGGACCGACCCGGAGGCCAGCGGCACGTGGATGTTCCTCTTTCCGTCTGACCGCGATCCCTTCAACTAACGAGCGAAGCACGCTCTACGTGCGCCGAGCCTGTTCCTGCAGCCCCGGCCCGGGAGGCGGGGCCCCTGCGGGTGGGAAAATGAGCTCCGCCGAGGCCTGGCGTCTTGCCCGAGGTCACTCAGACTCCGCCGCCTCGCTGCCCCCATTCCTTCCCCTTCTGGGATCTGAGATTGTCCCCGTGGAGCCAGCCCCGTTTTCCCATCAGCCTTCTCCTCTCCGCCCCCCGCCCCCGAACCGTGCCCTTTCACCTTTCCTTGTCGGACTCTGGTCTTTCTGCTGGTGGGCAGGGGGCACCCTGGAGGAAGCCCGAAAGAGCGTAGCCCTGACCGTGGGAGAATGTACTGGCGAAGAGGAGGACTTGCAGGCAGTGGAGCAGAGTGTGGGCAAAGGCACCGAGTGGGCTGGGCTTGGTCGTGTTGTGGAGGGAGGAGGAGGGGGGGGGACGGGATGGCAGTGGCAGTGGGTGGCCCACTCTCTGGATGGCAGGGCACCAGCCAGCCTGGCCCTGACCCTTCTCTCCTGGAGAGAGCCCCCAGGCACCTCTGGGTCCTTTCCTCACTGCTCCCTCCTGGCCAAGAGGGGCCTGAACGTGGCTCTGACCCAGGTCTAATGTGCTCTGCCCCTGAGTTACTTAACCTCTCTGAGCCGCTAATGCGGCCAACGCATCTCCGAGGAGATCGTCAGTGAAGGAATGTGAAGTGCCTGCAGGTACAGAACTCATTAAAGAGTAATTTCTTTCCCCTCCACCCATCTGTAATCTCATCCCAGAAAAACCAGACCGTGATAAAGGAAGAACCCGCCCTCCCCAGACTGGAATCACTGCCGCCGCTGTGCCTGTTCGCTCCGTCTTGTCTTTATTGTTGAGGAGTTACGTCATGGGTCTGCCCACATCTGCATCCTCCTCTCCCACCTCGGATGGTGCCCGCAGTGTCTTTGCCGTCCTTTAGAGCAGCTGCGTAGTGGTCCCTCCAGGGAGTGGGGATGGAGCACACGGTGTGGCGTGCTGGCTGCCTCCTGTCACACTGCACAGTCATCTGGGAGCCCCCGAGGGTGGGGCCCGTGGTCTGACTGGGCCTGGGCCCCCCTACCCCGCAGGGCTATTCCAGAGAGAGGAGGTGCCACTCCATGAACGTCTGATTGATGACATAGCCATGCCCTGTGCCCCATGTGGGCGTGAAAGGCTGCAGCTGGGCTTGGTGGTGCCCTCCCTCCTCTGGCACCAGCTGCCTTTGCAGACACCCAGGCTAGGGGAGAGCTGGCAGAGGCTGCTGTGAGAGGGGAAGGGAGACTTCTGCCACCCAGAGCTGCTTTTGTCCCTGCTCATAACAAGAGTCTCTGGAGAGGAGGGGCGGGTGGGAGCAGCAGGGCAGGGCTGTGCACCCCACCTCGTGGGCCCCTCAGACTGCCTTCCCCACCCCCTAGAACTGGCCATCTGCTCTCTGAGGTGCTGCCCCCATCAGAGGCTGGGACCCCGTGTGAGGGCAGGAGCCCCTGAAAGATGAGCCTGGAGGAGTCCAGCCCGGCTGGGGATGGGGACAGTAAAAAGCTGGGATCTGTTTTGGGAATCGGCCGTGGCTGCCTCCCAAAGCATGAGCTCAGCTTCCTGGCAGAGGGTCTAGCCAAGGGCGGGGCCTGGCCTGATGCCCCTGCCCCTCTCCCGGGAGATGGAGGTCCCAGGAGCTGTGACAGGGAGCAGCAGAGCCAGGGGGCCGTGGCAGGGGGTCTCTCACACAAGGAGGTGGCCCAGAGGTGGTATCTGGGACATACCTGTGGGCAATGGCCTGAGTGAGGAGCGAGGTCCAGGGCATCCCAGCTGGACAGGACAGAGCACTTGGAGGCTGCTCTGGTCAGGAGTTCAGGGAGGGTCTGGCTCAGGAGGAGACGTGGGTACAGAGCTGAGTAACAGGAGCCAGCCCAGCTGAGGTTAGAGGAAGAACATCAAGACAGAGGGAACAGTGGCTGCAAAGGCCCTGAGGTTTGAGATGTCTGAGAACCAGAGAGCAGCTTGAGTGGGCAAGGGGGTGATCACTAAGGTCCCGGGCATGACTGAGGGCCCCAGATGGAAGTTGGGAAGCTGTGCCTGGGGCCACGCGTGGTGGTGGTGGTGGGGGGGGTTGGAATCTATCCTGGGCCTGAAGGAGAAAGGGGTTCAGGTCTCCAGGCTGGTGGCCCGAGTCTGCTGCTGGCATACAGCCCTCCCTTGGGGTCAGGAGCAGCCTGCAGTGGTCGGCAGGGTCCGACACTGCCCTGCAGTTGTAGAAGAGAAGGGGCCCTTAGCCCTTCCGAGGGGTTCCCTTCTGAGCCCCAGGTCAGGGCGGGTCAGGCCAGTGCCCATTTACCCCAGTAAGAAGGGCTGATGGCCGAAACCGGTTTGGCTCAGTGGATAGAGCATAGGCCTGCAGACTGAAGCGTCCCAGGTTCGATTCTGGTCAAGGGCATGTACCTTGGTTGCGGGCACATCCCCAGTGGGGGGTGTGCAGGAGGCAGCTGATCGATGATTCTCTCTCATTGATGTTTCTAACTCTATCCCTCTCTCTTCCTCTCTGTAAAAAGTCAATAAAATATATATTTTTTTTTTAAAAAAGAAAGAAAGAAAAAAAAGAAGGGCTGACGGCAGTGGCCTGGGGAGGACTCGCCGCTGAGTGAAGGGACAGGCCGCAGCCACGGTTGCGCTCCCCTCTGCTCTGGCTCCGATGGGCAGGCAGGTCTGGAAGGACCTTTCCCGTCCCTCCCAGAGTGGTCCAGCCCCAGAGAGGTCCTCTCCAGGAGGGACAAAATTTGACACTTGCTATATCACAAGCCTCTGCATCAGTCATCTTACCGCCTTTCTCATGAACAACCCAGTGAGGTAACTGCTCTTCTCTCCATTTTAAAGATGAGAAAACTGAGGCTTGGAGCTCTCAGCTACGTTGCCCAGAGTTACAGGGCCAGAGGGCGATAGGGCTGGAGTGGAGACTCAGGCTAGGCTGGGTCTAGAGCTGGCTCAAGCCACTGGCATCTGAGGGGGTGGCTGGTGCCCCAAGTTCAGTCCCAGCTCTACACACTCAGCGCAGACTGCGCACAGGTGGGCAGAGTGGGCTGTCCTCACTAAGCTGGCCACACCTGTCCCCTCATGTGCCTGCAGCCTTTCCTCATGCTGGGGCCCAGGACACAGGAGGTCAAGGAGGAATGTGTGGATTTCCCCTCAGAGAGGGGGCAGACTGCTGGGATGGGGTTCACCCCTTTATCTTGATCCCCGCAAAGGGCCCACCTGGGGCTGGTCCCAGACCTTTTAGTTCTGGCTGAGTTGGGCCTGGATACCCCTGCACTTCCTGGGTGTCCCAGACATGGCAGCCAGCCTGCCCTGCCCCAAGGGGGCCCCAGAGCTGGCCTCTAGTCTTAGATACTGACCCACCCCACCCCAAAAGGTTGTCTTTCACCTTGGTACTCCTGCTGCCTGGGAGGGCAGGAGGCATCCTCCCCGTTGTAAGTGACTTGTCCCAGATGCTGGGCAGAACTGGGGTTCCCGGGCCTGCAGAGCCAGACCAGCCAGCACAGCCCCCAGCACTCACTCCCTTCAAGGTCAACCTCCCTGGCTCTCCCTGACCACATCCTAAACTTTTTAATGGCATCAGGATGGGGAAAGCCAAGCCGAGCTTTTCCGTGGCTGGGCTGGGGGGGAGGGGCGTCGAAGCCTCCTAATGCTCCTGACGTCGCTGGTATTGATCCCGGGAGTGGGGGCCCGGCCGCCGGCACTGCCTGCCCCGGTGTGGCCGCAGCAGGGCTCCTCCATGGGCAGCAGGCTCTGCTCTTTCCGGGGTAAGCCACCCCCTTCTTTCCTCCCCGGTCCCCGGCCGAGTCTGCTGGGAGGTGGCGTTACCCTCCTGATTTGGGGGGAGAGGGAATGGCAGGGGCTTCTGGGTTCCGTGTGGCTCTGGAAGGGTGATGAGCAATCCCTGGGGCGGAGGCCCTCCCGGCAGTGGCTGAGGGCCGCCCCTTCTCCCGGGATGCGCGGTGGAGGCGCTGCAGCAGGGGAGGCAGGGCCCGGGGGAGGGGGGGGGGGCAGACGGCTACCTCGGTCTGGCTGTGCTGGGCCGGGTGGACTCAGCGCTTCCTGAAGGCCATGTTGGCGAGTACCCTCAGCACTGACCTCAGGGCGAACTGGGCTGAGGGCTCATGGTGGCGAAGCCAGGCTCCCTGGAGGAAAGCATGGAGACCTCGTCCCTTCTCCGCGGCCTGTGCCTTGAGCACCTGCTGGTGAGGAGCGGGAGCTGAGAGCAGAAAGCCGCTTCAGGGGTTGTGGGCGTTTATGTGTGTTGCTTTGGGGCCACCGGGGAGGGGAGTTCAGCGTCACGGCCAGCCTGCATTTCCGTCTGGGCCTGGGGCCCCGAGGATGGGGAGAGGAGCTGGTTCGGGCTCCGCCTCCCGGGGCTGGGGTTCTGGGTGGGGTGCAGGTGCGTATCCTGGAAGGCAGGCTGTGCAAAACCAAGGAAGATTGGAGCCCTGGGGGGTGGCTGCCGGTGAGGGCTGTTGGAGCTGGTCTGATGGGCAGGTAGGGTTTCCTTGGTGACACAGAGGAAAATGCTGTACTGTAAGGGCAGGCGGCCCTGTTCTGCCTGGGACAGCCCTCGTTTACACCTGTGGTCTTGGCACGATGCTGGATTAACAACGCCTCCTTTCTCTCCCAGGTGCCTGGTTCTGGCTGATGAATCATGTGGTTCCCTTATAGCCCTTCCTAAGTGGTCACAGGGCACTTTAAAGGCTCGGAAAAGTCCTGCAGCAACGTAATCCTAACTTTGTTTAAGCCACTGGTTCTCCAGCTTGCTTGCAACTTGAGATTAATTTTTACTTTTCCTTATACTACCCGT